AATAGCATAAATTACTGGATAATATTAACTAATAACTATGAAATTTGAACTACTGTAATAAACCTCACAGGCAGTTCTCACAGCAGTTAGTCACGATAACCTAAATAATCATGTATGATTTTTATTGAAATACAGATTAAAATTACCAGTAAAAGTGCTAGATTTGGTAAGATGAAATGCACTCTGTAAGTTGTACAAATGCAGATATGAATGAGAAAATTGATGTACCTGTATGTAATGTATTAATATGAATGGAGGAAATGTCTCACCTTATCTGAAGCAGATGATATTGCATTCATATTGGTATTTACCACTCGGCAAAGCAGCCTGTCACCATAACCTCAATCACCAGATATTTACTGGTTTGATGATACTGTTGGTCAAGAACTCAAGAGTGTTGATATGTATTCAATTCCAATTTTGTTGCCGTTCTGCTTGGTGTAGGCCTACTTATTAAATGGTAAAGTAGAAATGCAAGCACTTGTACACACCTGTAACGAGCATATAATTGATATTCAAAATTCAAGATTCATATTATTATTAACTTGTCCATGAAAAATACAAATGTATATAAAAATGGAATTTTTTTTGTTTGAATACATAAGTGTATATTGCCAAATACAATTTGAAATATATTAAAATAAGTAAAACATCAGTAAGACACATTTCATTTTTTTTATTTGTTCACTTTTATGTATAATAGCACTCTGAGAGATTATTATATGGTGCTATTATTATTATTATTATTATGAAATATATACCAATATTAGTGTCCAACCAGAAGGGCAAACAATTTATGATAATAATATTGCTAATTGAAAAACTTTTAATCTGTTAAACTTGTGTATGTTTACTTGAACTTTAGTAACGTTTTAAATGCACTTTGTAATGCATGAACCAATTATGCATGCTATGCACATATCCAATAAACATGGCCTACTTATTTGGATAAAGAGATTTCAAATAAAGACATGAGCCTAAACAGACAATCATAATGACTCAAATTACCATGAATACACATAGTCGTTATAATTCTCTGATTTAGGCCTATTTTATTTTCAACAAGTAGTAATGTAAATTCATAATTTTAATAATTTAGCAATAATTATCTGGAGACTTGTCCTTGAAAAAGATATAAGAAAAAAAGAATATTCAGGCTTCAAAACTTGAGTTGACAGGGTCTGAATTCAGTCAATGAATGATTTTATTATTCAATCCTGTAAAGGGCAACCTACCTTGGCCACTGATGGACTTTGATGAAATAAAATTTTTTTTAAAATTTAAAAAAATGATAGCCTCTCTAGCCTAGTTCTACCATACTTACCATACGTAGAGGCCTAGGTAGGCTAGGCCCTAGCCTAACTAACAGTACAACAACATGTTTTTAAATTAAAGGAAAACACAAAAATTAGGCCTAGCCCCGGCCCTAGTAGTAGTAGCTAGTAGTATATGCCTAGGCTACTAGGACCTAGTCATATATATCATTTAAAGTTTCTTACGCCGTTATCTTTGCCTAGCCTAGGCTACTTTCAACTGACTAGGTCTAGGCCTAGCTTAGGGCCTACCCGAAGAAAACGGGTAACAAGTGCATCGCCACTGTTGCACCAAGCGTACACACCTGCTGTGCTAAGCATCTGAACACCCTGGCCAAACCGTGCTTGACAGCCTGTGTAAGAAGTGAAGGAACCCGAATAAACGAAACCGCGGGCCCTCGCTTCGTAAGCCAGACGTTAATTTCTTATTAATTAGTCAAAATTACAGAATTAAAATGATTTATATACGTACTTTATTAAATCAGTGTCTCCTATCACTGAAACAGATATAATTCCACAGATGGTTAATGACTTAATGTAGCTAATTTTACAGACGTTTGCTTCCTTATTACTTCAAATCGAACGCCGCCATTTTCCTTCGCAGGGGTGATCGACCGACCGATTCGACACAGCGCGAGAGGGTGTGGTGCAAAATACACAAAATTCTTCCGCAAGTAAACACCTTTCGGTAAATAATATAATGAGAAAAATCCTGACTAGAAAAGATACAACGAACTGTTATTTTTATAGTAGAATAAACGCGAAAAATCTAAGTTATACTAAACACAGTGATCAGCGTGAACAATATGGCACATCAGTAATTAGTCACAACTGAATTCTGTGTCGTTAAAAAATATTATATATTCAATATAATTGTATAAACAATTATTAAAAATACGATAAGCGAAGTAATAAATGGGGTAATACAAACATATTCCAAATGTCAGTGTGTATATATTTTTGTAAATTTATAACCGAGATGCATATTAAACTGACTTGTCTATTTGTCCAGAGAGATATGATTAAAAATGCAACGTGTCGTATTTGAAAAAATAAAAATTTGTGAAAGTTAGGACGATATAAATAATGTTAAATTTCTTCGCCAATACACAATGTGCTTACATAATGTCATTCATTTTGCACAGGCTACCCATGTAAGAATTCAATTAAAGTTCGGGACTGCCCATTCTTGGAAATGTGAGCATTGTAAAATTGTGGCTTCTTCAGAAATCTCAACTTCCGTGACGCAGACCACGAATTTGAAATCATGACCTATCTATTATAATATTATTAGGCCTAAATATCAGTGGCAGATCCAGGAATTCGAAATAGAGGGGGGGGGGCTACTTTCCCAACTTTGGGGGTCTATACCTCAGCCCCATGCATAAAGCGGGGCCGCTGAGGTAAGAAAATGTACGATTAAGGCACCTCTTCGGGCCGGAATGGCACTCTCAGACTTAATTTTGAATATAATTTCTTTTTTTCTCCATTATTTATAATTTTGGAAAAATCCGTCACCGAATATCATTGTCAATTATATAGTTAGGAACGCACAGTGGATGATCAGTGGAGATGTGGGTAGCCGGGCCTCATGGTGAATCTGTTTTTTAGGAGATAATCCTATAAAATAGTCTCGAAGTGCAATTTTCGGCCATCTAGAGGTGTCATAATTCAACGTTGGCTAGAGGTTGTAAATATTAGATGTGATTATAGACGTTGTCTCAATGTCACACTAGTTGTTGGCCCGACGTCGGTAAACGTTTGAAATGGTGTTTGGTTAAAACCGTTGGCCCGACGTTGGTTAGAGGTTGTAAATATTAGGATGTGATAACAGACGTTGTCGCAACGTCAGAGTACTTTGTTGGCCCTACGTCGGTAAACGTTAGTGAAGGTTGGTTACAACCGTTGGGCCGCCGGCGTTGGTTAGAGCATGGAGGTATTATTGAGAAGGAGANNNNTACGCGCTGCGGCAACTTTGATCTTGGTTCATTTGCATAGCGCTGCGTGCGCGTAGCTTTGCCGAGTGATCTCCTTCTCAATAATACCTCCATGGTTAGAGGTTGTAAATATTAGATGTACGGTAATTAAAAACGTTGTCCGACGTTTCTTAGAGGTGTAAATATTATGTATGATTATAGACGTTGTCGCAGCATCACAGTACTTTGTTGGCCCGACGTCGGTAAGAAATAGACGTTGGTTACCACCGTTGGGCCGACGTTGGCCAGAGGTTGTAAATTTCAAACGTTTACCGACGTCGGGCCAACAGAGTACTGTGATGCTGCGACAACGTCTATAATCATACATAATATTTACAACCTCTAAGAAACGTCGGCCTAACGGTGGTACCCAACATCTATTCAAACGTTTACCGATGTCGGGCCAACAAGGTACTTTGACGTTGCGACAACGTCTATAATTATATAATGGAGGTTGGTTACAATCGTTTGGCAGACGTTGGTTAGAGGTTGTAAATATTAGATGTGATTATAGACGTGGTCGCAACGTCACAGTAGCCTACGCTATTGGCCCAGGTTTGCTTGCTATTCAATATCCACCACCCACTAAACTGCCTTTAAAAAAAAAAAAAAAAAAATTGGTTTGTGTGAGAATCGAACATACAACCTCCAGGTTTGCTTGCTATTCATTATCCACCACCAACTAAACTGCCTTAAAAAAAAAAATAAAAAAAAATTGAATTGAACACACAACCACCAGGTTTCCCGTAACATGATTAGTCTATTTTTTTTCTAATTTGCATAATGAATTTTTCTAAAAATTTTTGTCTATTTAAAAAGAAGTGCGTTAGTTATGGAGATGGTAACAATCAAAAATCGATTATAAATTTAATTCTACATTTTCAGACAAAAAAATAAACCCTCTTGGCCCACGGACCATTTTTGACACCATGACCATGCGTAATATTAACTTGCAGTGTATATATACAAAGAATTTTTTCTAGTAGAATCACAGTTGACTAACTGGTACTTGGTGTGGTACTAGGTTTATCGAATTAATGGCTTAGGGGCCGCGGTTTACCTCCCTCCGTTTAGTCATGCTGAATCAGGAGTAGTAAACTCGGCGATCGTGGGTTCGATTCCCACACGGGGCAAGTTTTTTTTAAATAATTTTTTTTATTTTTTTAAGGTCGTGGGTTCGATTCTCACACGAGCCAGTAGAGGTTGGATCCGGGTTGGTTTGCCTCTCTTTAAATGTTTCCGCGACTTTACCGCAGATCGGCGAGACATAGGGCTACTGCATTGGTCTAGTCCTATTAGAAAAGACCATATTTTTGAGGAAATCACTGTAGGCATAAGGCCCCATAAAAAAAATTGTTAGTTTATCACCCCCCTCCCTCATTACTTTTTGGGAAATAATGTTAACGGTCGTTTTCCCATCAGCCACCTCCTACCATATATTTTTGTGAGCTCCAAGTCGTTGTGAACATTACAATGCAGTATATTCATTATTACAAATACGGACAGAAATTGATAATATAAAGCAAATACTTAATATTAAAGTAGTACAGTAGGCATAAATAACTGAAAAAATGTAAATACAATTATCACCTACTGAACTTAAATAAAAAATAAGGGACGCCCGCAATCGGTTGGTCAAATGCAAAATGTGGCTTTCTAGTTTTACTGTTATGCTCTTTGTTCTCTTGACGACTTGAACATCTGAAATAATGGTTTGTTCCAAAGACCTTTGCCCTTTGTGTTCGCGCTTAATTCGAGTCGAGCTGAGCTGGACGACACGAAGAGAGACGGGAATTAGGTGAAATGGCATCAACAGAAGATTCTTTCCAAGGAGCTGATAATCTGGATGGTAAATAGAAATATCCAAACGAATATGTTAAGTAACCTATAACAGGCTATATACATTGTATTGTATTTTATAATAATATAATATGCCCTGCCTACACCAGCCAAGAGGTTAGGCTTAAGCTGCCCTAGGCCTAGGAGACCTAGGTCCTAGTATAGGCTAGTCCTAGGAGACCTAGGCCTACGCTAGCCTAGCCTAGGAGGCCTAGGCCCTAGTGCCTACCTACCTAGCTAGAGTAGGCTAGGAGGTCTAGCCTTGTACAACTTGTAGCCTAGTTATAGGTAGACGGGTGGTAGGTATGTTAAAGAAAAATTAAATTTGATTGGATGTCCACAATACTGATATCACAAATTCTACCAAGTGTTATATAACATTAAAAACGTTTACAAAATTAAATTTGGTTGTATGGTTGATTTTTAATGATTTTTTAAAATATTTAATTATGGCGAAAATTCGGTAATTCTCAATTATACACGGGTATATTAATCGCAAAATATCATTATAATAAATCGAAAATACTAAGCAATGATTATATTGGACATATTCATCAGTAATACAGACTTTATGTGTAAATTTAATAACAATTATGCCGTTTGAATCATCCTCCAATGTACACATCTTTCGATCAGCGGACATTTTTATGCATCGGACTCGAGAGTCGTAAGATTTGAGAAAATCAAAAAAATTGTTGAGTAGCATCAGATCTAATTCATACTTGGCATATATATTAAATATATAATTCTTAAAATTACAGGATGGTTTTTAAAATTTACAGAGCCTACAAAATATGTGTAAATGATGCTTTATTTCAAAGAAAAAGTTCCGTAAACTGTAACTCCGTGACCGATCAATGAAAAAAATATTTTTAAATAGTGCAAGTAAACTTTGACCTGTTTACTTTGTAAATAAGTTCAAAGGTT